CATCCTGTTAGCGGGCAGGCCCAGCATACCGCTGGCGAATAGTAAACCGCTACCAAGTGGGGGTTTTCTAGAAATTTACTTTTTAACGAAGACAGGCTGTCGTCTTGGCTTCCAAGTTCGTCTTTCATGGGGAGGGAACTTAAAAATGCATTATATTAAAAATGCATATCTTTCGATCGTGTATTACTTGCTCTCATACATGGGGTTTCAAAAAAGAATCCATTCCCAAATACAGACACATCTTCCAGTATTCATAAACCTTGTTCCATTAATACTATTGCACAAGTATTACACAAGCAGGCTCAGTTTGCAGGATTCACTACAGGTGCTGAATAGCTCTGACCTTCACAGGCTTCCAGGTGGCTTAGACGTTTGTTTTACACCGAAGTCTGTTTGCTTGGAAAGGCTGGTACGTCTTTCCGTCTGAAACCACGCCTTGCCCAGAAACGACAGCCAGTTTCCCTTCTCTCGAAAGCCTGTGCTCCAGCGCAGTGGGCCGGCGGGCCTGCCCCAGTCCCACTGCGTCTCGGGAGGCCGGTCGGCGCTGGCCCACAGCTGTGGCCTCGGTCCTGGGCTGTGCTGCTGGCTGGGGTCAGTCTGGTTCGGTGACAAGGCTCTAATCCACTCACACGACATTACCTTCAGGTTTACCAGCGTTGGGAATGAACCATCTTGAGCAAAACCGCCCAGGCTTCCACTGAGGCACAGAGCTGCACTGGTTTCAGACTGACCCGGCAGCTGATGTTCATCCATCCGTTCTCTCACCACTCCATCCCATTCCAGGTGGCGGGGGAGCCGGAGTCTGTCCCAGGAAGCCACAGGAAACACCCTGGATGGGACGCCAGTCCATCACAGGGCACACACAGTCATCCACACACTCACATCATGGCCAGTTTCCCCAGGAGCCAGTTAACCTGCCAGCATGTCTTTGGACTGTGGGAGGAAACCCATGCAAAGACAGGGAGAACATGCAGACTCCACACAGACAGCACTCAGGGCCCCAGGTCTGCAAGGCAGCGATGCTTACGACTGTGCAGTTATTGGCAACTAGGATTATGAGTTGTCAAATGAAACCACCCCCCCCCGCCACGAGGATTATGAGTTGTCAAATGAAACCACCCCGCCACGACCATCACCCTCCCGCCTTATTGAGACCTCAACACAGGAGGGGCAGAGTGGTGGCGGTGATGTGGTGGCTCTGTGGCTCAGGATCTGCGCCTGTGGCTGGAAGGTTGTCGGTTTGTCTTCCACAGCCGGCAGAGGAATCCTACTCCGTTGGGCCCCTGAGCAAGGCCCTTAACCCCAACTGCTCCAGAGGTGCCGTATAAATGGCTGACCCTGTGCTCTGACCCCAAGCTTTTCTCCCTGTCTGTGTGTCTCATGGAGAGAAACCTGGGGCCTGAGAAAAGACAAATTCCTAATACAAGAAATTAGGACACTTAGCACAAGTGCTCCTGTACACAGATGGTTGTAGGGGTGTGGAACATACTGCCTGGTCACACTTGTGAGTGCCAGGGAAGAGGTAAACTGTAGGTTTAGTGTCACAGAGGACACTGAAACTAACATCAGATTGAAGGTTAAAAGATTTCCTCTCTCTGCTTATGTTTTGCATATCTTGGAGAAAAAAATAAAATGATAATCTGTAATTTTTCAACAGATGAGATTTTTTCTTAGTGGTGTTATCGCCCTGTTGTGAAGGTGTTATCTCTTCCCTGATATAGGTTTTATATACACCCACAGCTCAATCGTTTAATACTATTAGCTGCTAAACTGATTTAGAAAACGGTTATATATAACAAAGGGTACCGCTCTTTAAGAGTGTTTCCTGTTACCCGGCTCAATTAGCCCGGCTGCTATTTATACACCGCTTAGAACTGTCACAGATTCTCGACGGAGCAGGAGGTCTATATACTTATTTGATCTCAGACACACCCCTTTGAAAGAAGTCCCTTATCCTGCAAGTTGAAGGGAAGCCGATGTTTCCTCCTTATGTCAGGAAGTCCGCGGAGATGGGTAGACCTTCACAGGGTCTTATTATAGTCTCTGAAGGGTCCGACCCAATTTTGTCGTCATCTGTAGCTATATAACTGACTGGCCTGTTTCAGCTCTGCCCAGAAGCAACAGACATCATTTTGTCTTTCGTGCGGGTAGTCCCTTGAAGCGCTTCACAGGTTGCAGTTCGGTAAAAAAAAAAAGAGTAGGGCAGTGTCTTTCAGGTGAAAATAATACTGTCTGTAAAAACGACAATTGTCACAATGGTACCACTGTAAGGGACTGTAGTTCTGTAAAGCGAGGGTGGAGTGAGGATCTGCGTCAGCTGTAAAGCAAACAGTACGGGTTAATTCAACGGGGGGGGAAAGTAGAAATGAGAAACACGGTGTTTCGGCTGTTGGGCCATATTCTGGTGCGACATGGTTCCCTTTATCCTTCCTGGGCAGGTATCTGAGCAAACCCCCCCTCCGCGGGCACGGCTTCGCCTCCCCTTTAAGTGTGTGAGGGCAGAGCGAGCGTGGTGGGCAGGTGTCACGCAGACCGTGAATGTGACTGCGGACAGAACCAATCTTGGCAAAGAGAAATGGGGGGAAATGGTTTTAAGGGTAGGTTTTGAAGACCTCATTTCTCTGGCCACTTGTAAAAACTGAGCACATTTTAAAAGTTTTGAAAGTTAGGCGAAAGACAATGCGCGCAAGACGCCGAGAAATACCCTTTAACGGGAAGTAGAAAGATGGTTTGTAAAAAATGCAGCACCCCCCTCGTGTACCGGAGTTGTACACAGTCCAAGTAGTGTGCAGGTCCTGTTGTGAAAATAACACGGTAAAGGTACCCCCTGGTGAGACATCGTTTTAAAAACACACACTTGAGTTAGTTTTATCTCAGACCCTAAGGAGAGTCGCAACAGCACAGTAAATCCCAGCAACAGGTAGGTTGTTTTCCTAGTTTTTGCTGCTTTTAGTGACCTATTCGTAATCAAAACTTTGTTCTGGGAACGCAGTGTTTGTGTCCGAATCGGTTTTGATTTATTTGTGCTTCCGAGGTGCGGGTCGGTGTAACGTGCCACTCGCTCCATTAGCGAGAGCACCAACCCCTCGCAGTGCGAGAGGGACATGTGCGCTTCGCTCAAGCCCTCAGGTGTCGCAACCCCTACAGGCAATATCATAATAATAAACTTTATTTTATCTAGCGCCTTTAAAGCTGGCTTCTCAAAGCGCTTTACAGGATGACAACAACAATAAATAAGAAGAATACAACAATAAATAAGGAGAATACACAGGATAAAACACAATTACAAGATACAGAGGAGACCGTGGATGGTGGTACTAAGAAAAGCAGAGGGGTGAAGAATGGAACCAGTTCAGTAAAGGCTTTTCTGAAGAAGAGGGTTTTGAGTCTGGATTTGAAGGAGTTTAGAGAAGGTGACTCTCTGATATCCTTGGGCAGAGAGTTCCAGAGCTTGGGGGCGTAACAGGAGAAGGCCCTGGTGAAAGAACCCAGGTGAGTGGTTTCTTCATAACAATTAATTCAGCCCTGGTCGCGAGGACTTGTGTTGTACCGTAGATAACTGAGTGAAGAAGTTATTTCGTTTAGCTGACTAAAACAATGACAGCGTATCGCTAGAATGTACCATACCAGAGCGACATCTCTGTAATATTGTAATATATTTCTTTTCCACACATTAACTGGATATGTTTTTGTACGGTCAATGGAATGAGTTGCATAAAGGAGAGACAGAGATCTACATTCCAAAATAAGTTATTTAAAAGATTAATCAAGAATGATCATGATGTCTCTATTATACCTGATAAACACGGCGCACAGCTGCATGTGGACGTAGCGCAGAATTAGCGCCCTGATGGGTGTTGTTCGGGTTGATGGGTGAAAGCTCACTCACGACACTGGATTTATAATGGTACATTGGATTCAAATCCAACGTGAGCCTAATTGCAAACAAGCAATTCGCTTTTTGGGGTAAACGGGTGAAAAAAAACAGGTAACAGTAGCTGCAGTAGTTTTAATGTAATGCGAAGGCTGCGCGGAGACATCGATACACAACGTCACCCGCACGGCGAAATGAGGTTCTCAGCGACCGTGACGCCACCGAGACACCCTGCAACTCACAACAACCCACTGCAGCTCAGCAGGTGTGAGCCGGGCCAGTACCAGATGAGAGGATGGGAGACCTCCTGGGAAAAACTAAGGTTGCTGCTGGAAGAGGTGTTAGTGGGGCCAGCAGGGGGCGCTCACCCTGCAGTCTGTGTGGGTCCTAATGCCCCAGTACTGTGACGGGGGGGGGGGTGATGCTGCATAAAAACGAGGTTCTGATTCTCTGTGGTCATTAAAAATCCCAGGGTGTTTCTCGAGAAGAGTAGGGGTGTAACCCTGCTGTCCTGGCCAAATTTCCCCCTGGCCTTTATCAGTCATGGCCTCCTAATAACCATCTAGGAACTGGCTTCATCACTCTGTTCTGCTCCCCACTGAGAGCTGGTGTGTGGGGTGCATACTACGCCAGCAGCCATATCACCCTCCAACTCACAAGTGGCAGCCCCACTGGAGCTCAGCAGGTGTGAGCCTGGTCTGCTGCTGGAAGAGGTGTTAGTGGGGCCAGCAGGCTCCCATTGGCCCTTATCAATCAGTTATTAAGTTATTAACTATCAGTTATTAAGATTCTTAATAATCCCCGTGTCTGAACTGGCTTCCTCACTCTGCTCCCCTCCCCACTGAGAGCTGGTGTGTGGGGAGGTACTGGTGCACTATGGCTGCCGTCACAGCACCCAGGTGGTGGAGGGGAGTCCCCATTACCTGTGAAGCGCTTTGAGTGGAGTGTCCAGAAACGTGCTATATAAGTGTAAGCTATTATAACTGTTGTTATAATTGTAGTGCTGCGCACCTGCTGTGACGTCACATCGCTCGCTCGCCTAAATGCTTTGATTGTTGCGCTTGTGGACACGGTGTGAATCCGCCTTTCTTCACCTCTGGGTTCATTTTATTTTTGCTCGTCCTAGAGATTCATTTGAACACGCACACCTCCTTGGAAAAGTGTGTGTGTGTGTGTGGGGGGGGGGTTGACTGGAGCAGTACAAATGTCCTAAATGCCTGAGTAATAGTTAAGGATAAAACCAGGCTGAGTTTCACAGTACTCGGCGCTCAGGTCCGTCAGGTGGGGTCCACCGCTCGGTGGCGTTGCCCTTTTAAGACGGAGGGCCCGTGACTGACAGCCGGGCGCGCGCTCAGCGCGAGGTTTGGGCGCGAGACGCGTCGGTTCCTCTGAGGGGGAAGATGGAGGAAAGTCGCGCCTGGCTGTAGCCGGGCAGTTTCCGAATCTGTGGAAGTGTTTGGCAGCGGTTTCGTCTCAGTTAGACATTACGCATCGCCTCGATCTGGTAAGTTTAAAAGTCTTTCGGCTTTTGTTTTTTTTTTTTTGCTGCGTTAGCGACTGCGTGTGAGTTGCGTGGAAGCAGAAAGTTGGTCTCTTGTTTTGTTCTGCCGGCAGTGCAAGTTTATCCGGTGATTTCTGCTGTTTCCTACGAGACTGAATCCGCACATCAGCGCCGCGCGTAGTCCGTGTTGTCTTCTTTCAGTTGTGGATACGGTCTTTAAAAGTGCTTTCACAATCCTGTTATTTTCAACTCTCGCGTTAGACTCTTCCTTCATCAGCTGTGTTGCACAAGGAAGGAGAAAGCGGCGGTTGTTGTCGTTTCTGATGTTGACACCTGTGCATTTTTAGGAAATTTCATTGCTCGCCGCCTTGTACGAAATCCGTTGCAGTTCAACCCCTCGCTTGTACTCGAGGTGTTTCGTATGTGTGACATGAGAGGAAGCTGAAAGCGCGCTTCACATGCTGGGGAGTCTGATGGACTTCAGGCAGGTGGCTGGCTGCTTGTCCGGTCGTGGTGGGTTTGCATTCGCCTTGAACACGTGAATGAAGGTCCTGTACCTTGGGGAGACGGATGGTTTTTTTTGAATGGCGAGAGCGGGGAGGGGGGGGCGGGGCTCACGTGGCCTGGGCGGCAGGACCAGCGCGCTCACGTTGCCCCGCCAGCTGTGCGCAGTTAAAGGGCGGGCGGGGCGCTTTCCTGTCGGCGGACAGACGCGCCGGGCGTGAGAGTCCCTCGGGCTCTGGAGTCGCCTGTACTCGCGGCTTCAAGAGGGCTTGAGGACCACGATAAAACCGACAGTGGTTCAACCGGGCACGCAGATCCTTTTATCGATAGCAACGTTTCGTTATAAGACTGCACTAAAGGCTACCCCCTGCAGATCCCCGTTTTAAACGCCTACACATGTGTTTGACACGGATCAGGTTCAGTGGCCCGAGGCAGCTTTTCTAGCAGATCTCCAGGTGACCCAGAAAGATGTGCCGACCGGACCGGCTGGGTCCTCCGTCCACGCGTGCCTGCCCCCCGGTCAGAGGCGGCGGCCTGACTGCTTGTACCCCGGCTTCTGCTAAAACGCGATTTCCGGTTTTTCAAACTCTTCCTTACTGAACGTAGCGGCTTGTAAAAGCCTTGTTTGCTTTGATCCTGCTCGAGTTTCCCGCAGGGAACTGGGAAGTCTCAGCATGAAAGGCGCTATACACGAGTATGTGGCCTCACAGTTCCGGGGTACCAGCCTGGGAACCCCTCTGTGTGGAGTTTGCATGGTCTCTCTAGGGGCATCATGGGTTTTGTAGACCCTCTGTGACAAGTCTTTGCAAGCCCCGGGCTGCTCCTGTTTTTCCCAGGTTACACCTGGGGTCGTTGTTGTCTTGGAGCGTTAATGGCTCTGGCCCAGATGGACAGGCGGACCGGGCCGGACTCCGACTCTGTGGTGGTCATGCTGGCCCGTGGCAGAGCCCGTTGTGTGGAGGTGAACAGTACCAGTACCAGTACCAGTATCAGTCCCAGACAAAGACCCAGCAGCTCACTGACGCGAAGGCACAGGCTGTGACGCTCTCGTTTCTCCCGAGCACTCCAGCAAGTAAGGCCCTCCGTCCCGGAGCCTGTCGGCGCCCCAGCCTGCAGCGGGCGGCCTCGCCCCTGGCGCACGCGGGGTTAAGCTCCCTCTCTCTGCAGAAAGTAGGTTAGAGTCGCAGGGCACTGTGGGTAAGTATCGCAGTTGCATAACCTGGGTGTATAAAAGCTGTGTGTCCCCCCTGCGCAAGTCTCCTGCGCTCTTTGTTCCCGGGGTCCTGAGGGGGACGGAGCCGGGGATTCGGGGCGCCCGGGAACGTCGAGGGAGTGGGGGGGCCCCTGGAGAGGTGCGTTGTGTGGGGGGGAGGGCCGTGCAGTGGGATCGCATGGCTGTGATGCTCTTTGCCAGACCTGTCAGCTTCATGTTCCGTTTTGTCCCGAGGACCTGTGAGTTGGCGTCTCTCGCGTGATCCTCTGCTTCCGCTCGAGCTACTCCTCGCGGGTTTCAGACAGTCGGGGAGTCTCTGGTATATAGCGCCCTGCGCTGTTCCGATGTGCGGGCCCCTCCCTGCTGGGGCGGCCCATAGGGCGCGACCCCAGATTCTCCCACGGGGAGCAGATAGATCTCTGGGGGTCCCGGGCCCCCTGGGTCTTGTGGCGTCGGCCTCTGGACTGTGGGGGTGCGGTTGAAGAAGGAGGCTGTGCCCCTCCAGCTTCGACAGGGAGATCAAGCACGTGACCCCCCACAACAATCAGCCGCTCCCCACATCTTCACCGCCGCAAAATCCCAGAGGTGCTGGTGGGCGAACTTTCAGGAAAACGAAACTCCCAGCTCGCCGGGGGCTCGGCCACTGTCAGACCTGCGCAGGCAGAACGAGCCGGAGAGATCTGTCTGGGGGCAGGACGCCGCGTGAGGCGCGATTGAAGTTAACGTTTCTCCCGAGCTGTGACTGCAGGCCTGCAGGTTCCGAGCCCGGGAAGCCCCTCTGCGTCTCGCTGCGTGGGCTGGGGCTGGGGCTTGGAGTCCCCTGGGCTCGGCCCGCTGGCCTGCACAGACACTCGGGGTGGGAGGACACTCTCCTCAGGGGGCGTGCCTGAGCAGACAAGGAGGCGAGGTTGGAAAGGCCCTTTCAGGTGGATGGCTGAGCCTCTAGGCGTCTCCCTCTCCCTCAGGTTTCCCTCGACCTCGGCTCGGCGGTGGTGAAGGAGCAGAGGCCCTGCTGCGCTCCCCTCTTCCACAGGCTCGCCGCCGGCCTGGCTCCCTGCGGTCGAGCCAGCTCGGGGTCTGCTCAGGCACGCAGGCCCAGTGTCCCGTTTGTGTGTCCGTGCTGCTCTGTGCCTGTCGTCTGTGTGTCCGAGCGGCTCTGTGAGGCCAGCTAATTAAGGAGCTTGAGACCTTGCAGGGGGACACTGTTCGCAAGCAAGTTTAGGCACTAAATGCAAACTTTGTTAACCCTATAAAATCCATTGCGTCTGTTTTTCATACAGCAGAGCTCTGGGTGTCCCGCGGTGATTGGCCGGGAACGGGTGGGCGTGTCGCGTGGTGATTGGCCGGGAACGGGTGGGCGTGTCGCGTGGTGATTGGTCGGGAACGGGTGGGCGTGTCGGGGGGGGGGGTGCATGGGCCCTCTTTCTCCCCATGTGGTACACCTGCAGCTGCTTTGTTAAGATGAGTTAATAAACAAGTGCTGGTTTTAAAGTGGGACTGGTGTACAGGTGACCGTAAGTGTGGAAACATTAGAGGCTTGGGCAGCGCCTGGGGAGTCTCACACGCTGCTCCTGTGTCCCCAGGTCGCGGCGCTCGCTCTGTTCTCCGCCGGGTCTGGGATATATGGACTTGTACATGATGAACTGTGAGCTTCTAGCGACCTGCAGTGCCCTCGGGTACCTGGAAGGAGACACGTATCACCGCGAGCCCGACTGTCTAGGTGAGTGAGCAGGGTGGGCTCAGCGAGAGAGGGCTAGAGGAGTGGAGTGGGGCTGGGGTGAGATGAGCTCGTTATGGTGGGGTGGGATTGGGCTGCGGTGGAGTCAGTGGGGCTGAGCTGGGGTGGGGTGGGGTGGGAGGGGTTAAATTGAGGTGGGGTGGGATTGGACTACGGTGGAGTCAGTGGGGCTGAGCTGGGGTGGGGTGGAGTTACAGTGGGGTGGGAGGGGTTAAGTTGAGGTGGGATGGGCTTGGGCTGCGGTGGAGAGAGGAGCCTATGTAAGGGCTGGAGACCCTTGAAATGAAAGTCCAGCGTCAGCACATCAAGGTTCAGGGCTCTGGGTCGGCTCTTGAGACCAGGGGTTTGGTTTGTGTGTCACTGATGCCCGCTGTGCCCACACAGAGAGCGTGAAGGACCTGATCCGCTACCTGCGCCATGAGGACGACACCCGCGACATCCGCCAGCAGCTGGGCGCAGCGCAGATCCTGCAGAACGACCTGCTGCCCATCATGGTCCAGCACCACCAGGACAAGCAGCTGTTGGACGCCTGTATCAGGTACAGGGGCAGCGGGGCCTGGGGGACCGCGGTGCTGGGGACGGGAGGAGAGGGAGAGGGGGCGGACTGTGGCGTCAGTAACTGGGGTATTGGTAATAGTTGTAGATGTAATGGTGACAGTATTAACCGATCAGTTGTGTGGAGAATAAATTGTAATTTAAAAGTTTTAAGTATTGAGCTCTTTTTACCCTGATCTTCTGTTGAGTTCACTTGTGCTCCAGGACAGTACTGATCTTGTGTGACTGCTCTCTTCTCCTCCTGCTCTGGCACTTAGGGTGTGCAGTGAAGGAGGTTCCGCCTGCTCATTTTGTAAGGTTTGGAGAGTGCCCAGTGCAGGAAGAGATGTAATGTCACAGACAGGACGTGGGTTTTGCCCTCTCTTACAGGTTGATGGTCAATCTTACCCAGCCTGCCCTGCTGTGCTTCGGGAAGGTCCCAGATGACCCTTCCTTCCGGCATCACTTCCTGCAGGTGGTGTCCTACCTGCAGGCCTACAAAGAGGTGAGTCTTGCTTCTCCAGAGATGTTTCCTTCCTGCGGGGAAATCTCCAGAGGCAGGGATTTAAGACGGATGTTCAGTGCAGACGGGGAAGGGGCAGATCTCGCTGACAAAGAAGGCTGATGGGTACGCGGAGCATGTTTCACAGACACCGCGTTGAAGCAGATCCCCCCCAGTAACCCCGAGCAAACACCTGCAAGTGATCCTGGGATCAAGACACCACCAGCCCGCCTGCAGGCAGGGCTGAGGAGTCTAGCCCTCTCTCACTCGTGGTCTCTCTTCACGTTTTAGTCCAGGTTGAGCCGGGGGCCGCGCACCTGCAGGGCCTTGCGATTCAGAGGGGGGGCGTCCCTCGGCGCTGCTCGGGCCCGACCCGGCGCGCTGTTTGGGGCCGTCCCTGCTCATTCTGCTCTGCTTTCTGTTTCTGGTCCAGGCCTTCGCCAGCGAGAAGGTGTTCGGCGTGCTGAGCGAGAAGCTGTACAACCTGCTGCAGCTGGTGAGCAGACTCCACCCGCAGGGGGCGCCGAGGAGGGGAGCAGGGCCAGCGTGGGGGAAGGGAGATGATGGATTTAAATGCTGTTTGATAACTTAAAACCCTTTCCACATTTCGTCATAATCTCCCTGGGTTTTCCTGGGTCGTATGGATAGTACTCGCAGAGACATAAGGGCGGATAACATCTTCACCTGGATGTCCAGGTGGGTTTCCTCAAAACGGAGTAGACAGCACAGGGTATCCAGCGTCTTGGCATTAATATCCAAGGTCCTGGAAGCTCAGCGTAGCCGAAACGGGTCAGGGCCTGCTGGGAGTTTTATTTCCCGGGAGCGCTGCTGTGAGGCCTTGAGGATCCTAACTGGATAGGCTTGGTTTCCGCTGGCCTGGGGGAAGAGGAGGAAAAGAGAGGATCGCTGAGGTCTCTCTGTGGCCCTGGTCGGAGCAGATGAGCTCCGCTCTGGGCGCAGGCCTGTCTCTGCAGAGCCCAGAGGTGGGGAGCCAGGCGCCCTTTCCTCGAGAGGGAACAGACCGAAATCGGTCACGGGGGGGGCGCGGGCATAACCAATCCTCCTTGTTGGCGTCCCGAACTCCGGGGGGGCTCGGGGGTCCTCGAGGCCAGGCGTTGGCGTTGGCCTGTCTCTCACGCGGCTGTCCCCCGCCGGCAGGACTGGGAGCAGCGGCAGGAGGAGGACAACCTGCTGATCGAGAGGATCCTGCTGCTGGTGAGGAACGTGCTGCACGTCCCCGCGGACCCCTGCGAGGAGAAGGTGAGGGCGGGGGGGGCCGTGCCGGAGCTCTCCCAGCCGTCCCCGGTGAACGGCTTTGCTCGGGCCCGTGGGATCCTGTCCGCTGTCAGACGCGTCACCCCGCTCACATCCACGTCTGCCTGGCTGACGCTCTTGGGGATACCGGCAGCGCCGGCGTGGAAAGGAACCTGTTGCGGTTTCTCGGACACATCCCCTTCCACAGCGTGCAGTCTGGTGCAGATTCGTAACGGCTGGAGAGCGCGTCCCCTTGTGTTTGGTTAATTCAGCTTTATTTGTCATTAAACTTAAACAGGTGCATAATATAGTGAAAAGTGTTTCTCATGAGTCACTCGGGTGCAGTATAGAAATAGAACAGAAGATAAGACAACAGTAACACAGTAACGGTAACAGTATAATAACATAACAGTGTAATCAAAACTGCAAATCCGCAAACAGAGAAAGAATACAACAGGACAAAAAAGGTGCAAAAGTAATTCAGGGAACAGTGCAAAAATAGTACGGTGATTAATAAATACTACAGCTAATACAGTTTTAAGTACAGTTTGGGGACAGAAGTGTTCCTGGGGACGGAGATGCGCTGTGTCTGGGGGTGTCTGGCAGCGCTCGGGCCCGAGTCGGGCCCGAGTCGGGCTCGGCTGTGTGCGCTGCAGGGCCACGCTGACGGGCTCGTCCCCGCGTCTCCGCTCTCTCTCTCCCCCCCCCGCCTCCCAGAACGTGGACGACGACGCCAGCGTCCACGACCGGCTGCTGTGGGCCTTGCACATGAGCGGCATGGACGACCTGCTGAAGTTCCTGGCCAGCGCGCAGAGCGAGCAGCAGTGGAGCCTGCACGTCCTGGAGGTCATCTCCCTCATGTTCCGGGACCAGGTCAGGGCGCCCCGCCCCCTCCCTGTCGACCTGGGGGCTTCACTGGTGAAGAGGCTGCAAGCGCCTGCAGATCTTGCTGGCCGTGGCTCTGCAGGCCCTAGCTTGGAGGGCACTGATCGGGGCCATTGGTGCCGTTCACAGTGGCTCACGGTCAAGCGGCTGCAGCTCTTAATTCCCAGGATTCCCCACTTCCCCCCCCCACTACCCCGATCGAAAATGCCGCAGAGGGAATGAACGGTCCCTCCTGAAGCGTGATCCCTGATGCGGGGCGGGCAGTGGGGCTTCGTCCGTCTCCCGCCGCGCCTGACCCACGCCCCGCTGTGTTGCAGACCCCGGAGCAGCTGGTGGGCGCCGGCCAGGCGCGCTCGGCGCAGGAGAAGCAGAGGGACGCCCAGGAGCTGCTGGCGCTGCGGCAGAAGGAGCAGGCGGAGAGGCGGAGCCGCTCGCTGCAGAGGGGAACCAGGTGCAGCCCCCCAGCCCCTCGGGGACAGGGCCAGGGCCGTGAACCCACTGCCAGAGGGTTTGTGGGTTCAAGTCCTGATTGTAGACACGACTGTACCTCCTTGAGGAATTGACCCCCCTCCCCTCTCCTCCCCAGCTGGATATTAGCATTGCTGGAGGGGTGATTCCTGCTGGAGCAGAGCTGAGCCCCTTCAGCTTTACTGAACCCAGGATGAGCTCTGGAGCCTCTAGTCCTACCTTACAGCAGACCGGTCTGTAGTGCTAGCCTTAAGAGGGCTCTGCATGGCATTGCTCGTGCTGTCTGGAAGGAACATGAGATGCCACACCTTCCTCTAGTCATGCCCACTGCACCCTAACAGCGGTACAGCTGTATCTCGTTTGCACCCCTTGTCTGTGAACAGTATCACCTGGTGTCACGTCGATGGCCTCCAGGTGACTTAGGAGGACTGTGCCTTTCCTCCGAGTGGCACTGGACCCCTGTACGTGGGCTTCTGCACTAATGGGTGGCGGGGTCGGAGGATCCGTTCTGCATTTTCTCCCCCCCCGCGTGGGTGCAGGGGTCATCGCTGAGAGGCGAGACGCAAGGGCTCAAAAGGAACCAGATTTCAAAAGAAGGACAGAATTACACAGTCTGATTGCTTTGATCACGGTCAAGCATTGCCCATACAGTTGCCGGTATTGGCCGTGTGATTTCTCGAGAGTGTTTTTATGTCGTAGCTCTGAAACGCGTGTCGCTCTGTCCTGTCCCCTGTCTGTGTGAAAGGCACTCTCGGTTCGGAGGCTCCTATGTGGTGCAGGGACTGAAGTCCATCGGAGACAAAGACATCATCTATCACAAGGGCCTGCACAACGTGAGTGTCCCGCCAGTGGGGAACCCCTTTTTGACCAAAGAGCCGTATGGATCTGTTGGGGGGGGAAAAAACTGAAAGAAAGGCTATCTGCAGGATTCAAACCCTTTTCTATGCCATTTGGCACCAAGCTGCACAGTTTAGTTCTGTGCTCGGGCCTGGTTGCGCTTAGCGAGTGTGTGATAGTGCTCACGAGGGTTTCCGGACTCCAGGCCTCGCAGTCCGGAGACCTGTACGTTCAAAAAAGCCGCACGTTTGAGAGAGGGGTGAAAGCGATCCACTCGGTTTAACTGGATCACTCGGTTTGGTCTTGCTGTAGCCCGACTCTGTTGGCGGTTTAGAGACGTGGAGACCTTGCCGGACCCTGCAGACTGCTAGGGCTGGAGCTGGGCAGCCCGCTCAGCAGTAACAGTGCCTCTCGTGTGCCGGCTTGCTGCCCACACGTGGGCGGCGCTTGGCCTGCCCTGCGCCAGGCTTTTGTAAATACGGCCTGTTGGGATACACAGGTCCCCCTGCGCCCGTGTTTTGAAACGATGATCCGTCGCCACGTGTGCCCTAAGGTTGCCCTCTCGGCCTATGCGTGAGCTCACTGCCCGCCTCCTTGCCCCTCCTCCCGCAGTTCAAGAACTACAGCCACGACGCCGGCAAGGCGGCCCGCAGGGTGCCCAAGCGCCAGCAGCGGGCGCGGGACCCCGAGGGCGCCCGGCGGTCGGCCCTGAACGTGCGCCTCTTCCTGCGGGAGTTCTGCCTCGACTTCCTGGAGAACTGCTACAACCGCCTCATGTACCTGGTCAAGGTGAGGAGCCGGGGCGTCTGGAGAGGCAGGGCCGGGTCGCAGTGTTCGTAGGCCCTAGGCGCTTTCACGCCGAAATTTGCAAAAAAAGTGGGGTAAACGCCAATTGTATTACCGCGATTGACACAATGCACTTTAAACTATTGTGACGCTAAACCCCGAGATTGATGGAGAGAGTCGAGGGACCTTCACTTCGATACTTCTAGTGTCTAGAACGGCCGCTAGATAGCGTACAAGTATTGATTTGGAGCACCTAGAGTCGTGGTGTTTCGGCTCGTTTCTCGTGAGCCACTAGCATTTCCCTCCTTCATAGGCTTCTATGCCTGCAGTGCCTAATGGGAAATCCGGTACTGTGGAGAGGCGAGTGTGGGAATGCCGACTGCAGCGGCAGTGCAGAGCAGGAGGCCCGTGAGGCTTGCCCACTTGTCCGAGGGCTTCCAGCACCGTATGAGAGAGCTGCTCCGGCCCTCTGTGCACACCGCTGAGCTGTGCTGTGCGCACTGTGGGCTTGCAGTGCGAGGGAGGGGCGGGTGGTGACATACGGGACACGCGCGTCTCCTGTGCTGCTGTAGGGATCACACCAGGAAAACGGTGTCGTTTGCCGAAATGATGCACCTTAGAAAAAAGGCGGCTCCAGGTGCCTTAAAGGAAAGGATGTTAGGCATGGTTCAGTTTTGCTCTCTCACCCTCTTGCGCCCCCTGCAGGACGGGCTGATGCGGGAAAAGGCGCAGCAACACGATGAAACGTACTACCTGTGGGCGCTGGCCTTCTTCATGGGCTTCAACCGCGGGCACAACTTCCGCCCGGACCTGGTGTCCGAGACCATGTCCATCCGCACCTTCCACTTCATCGAGCGCAACCTCACCAACTACTACGAGATGATGCTGACCGACCGCAAGGAGGCCACGTCCTGGGCACGCAGGTCAGCCGGAGGGCTGGGGCCTAACAGGGAGCAGTCATTAGGACCAGCAGAAGGCAGCCTGTCTGCAGTGTGCTGGACGGACACGACACTTCAGTATCTTCAACCTTTAATAGTTCTTGAATGCGAATCGTTTTAAGCAGTTTTGCTAAAACGTTGGAGCTCGTTGCCCATGTGACCTGTTCCCCCAGGATGCACCTGGCCCTGAAGGCGTACCAGGAGCTGCTGATGACGGTGAACGAGATGGACCGCTCGCGCGACGAGGGCATCCGCCACAGCGCCTCGGTCATCAAGAGTAAGAGCCCGGCCGCTGGCTTCCCGCTGTCCCTCATCGATTCGAATCGCGAACGCTTTCAGTGGGCGGCGTGTTTGCAGTAATTTGGACGCTTGATACTGTCGAAGAAAAGTTTAGAAGTTGTCGCAGAAAACTCTTCTCTCAGGTTAGGTGTGGTCAAGCAGAGTCCTTTATTCATGCGCATGGGGAGGATATAACCATGCAGACCTGAGAGCAGCCTCTCATACAGATCTGTGAGTAACCTCTCCACCGAGATGATAAGTGCAATGAGTTTTATACAGCAAATTCACACAGGAAAACTCATTCTAAGTTTCCATATTATGAGTTGTTTTTCTCTCTACAAACATTTCTTTGTAATTGACCACTTTCTTCTTAAGAAGCAGTTTTACCTTGTATACAGACAAAAGGAAGTAAAGAAATTAAAGATGTGAAATGATCTAGACATTCTGCTGTTGTAGCATTAATATCAAAAAGTCAAATAATATGCTTGCAATTGTTCTTTCATACTGTTGCTAGGTAAAAGGCATTTTTCAAAGCCAACTAGTCACTATCTTATACATTTTAAGAAAGGTAAATGCTAAAATTATTCCTCAATACCCAGGAAAGAAAGAAATCATACATTTCCCCCCCGTTATAACTCCTAGTGAGCTGAGTAACGGTGTGCTTTTTTTTCGATGATTCATTATTGATTTTGTTCTACCGGTCCTTCCTTGAATCTGTTCTAACTTTTACCCTGATCTGCTGGCTTGGCAACCTGAAATCTGAGAGGCAAGGACAGGCTGGGCAGCCCTGTGAAAATATGGCAGAAGGTCACTGGCGCTGATCTTCCAGCCCTCTCCTCCAACTATCACTCACGCGTTTTGCGTAAAGCAAAATCCATCTGTGATGATCCTTCACCCCCTTGTTTAGTAACTTCCAGTTACTCCCATCAGAGCACAGATACCGACTCCCCAGCTCCAAAACCAACAGATTCAAGTTCTCATTCACACCTGTAATCCGGTCAAGCCGGATCGTTACTTGACACTTGACCTTCTGTGTAAATGTGTGAATATTGTTGTCCCTGTCGTTTTCTTCTTCTGTCCGTCTGCACACCAACACTGCTGCTGTAAAACAACTCCCCCCCCGAGGGATAAAAGACATTCTCTCTCTCTACTTCCATATCAGTGCCAGAGCTAGATCTAGTTTGCAGCCCTCGTTGCTGATTGCTCAGCAGTGCTGCCCCTGATACTATGCAGCGAGTGTGAGACAGCAAAGCCTCCAGTGGTCTCTTCATCCTCCTCCAGCTCTGTTCTGGCTGGCAGCTTTAAGTCTCCCAGCTCAGTGCTGGAGTGGAGTGCCAGGCGACTGACTGTGCTGGTCTCAGGGCTTGGCCATGCCCGTGTTATCTGGAGCCCGATCTTCATACAGAGCGGCAGAAAATGGAGCTGGGGTGGCCCTGCCTCGCAGGATCGGATTTTTTTGGTCGAGTTGGAGCTCAGGCTCGGTTATAAATTTCTTCCAAATGAAATAGTTGTGTTGTCCCAGACAGCAGTGATGGCAGTAAAGCCTCAAAGGGTCTCAACACCAGACAGTTTTTTTTCCCCTTGCTGTGTGTATGGAGCCCGAACAGTTTTCTTTCTCTCCGGCGCTGTGTTCAGGCAACATCTTCTACATGATGGAATACCGGGAGATCTTCCTGACGCTGCTGCGCAAGTTCGACGAGACCAAGCAGCCGGGCTCCTTCCTGAAGGACCTGGTGGAGAGCACCCACCTGTTCCTGCGCATGCTGGAGCGCTTCTGCAAGGGCCGCCGGAACCTGGTGGTGCAGGTGGGCCGGAGGGGGCGGGGCAGGGGGTGGGGTTGGGTGTGATTAAGGGGTGGGGCTGGAGACGGGGTCATCGATAGGGCGGGGCATCTGCCTACCTTTGCTATGTAAGTGTTTCAGATGAAGCCAAAAAATAACTGCAGAAGAAGTAATAAATATATTACAGACTTCAACACTTCTACTACAGCATGGCTGCGTTACTGAACAAAACAGCCTGTCTGAGTGCAGGGTCTCAGCTAGAGCCACTGGCACTGTTCCCCACGTCATCGGGGCCCTCTGACAAGCAGCCATCCTACTGGCGCTCCAACCCTGAGTTTTCCCGGATCTGCAGGGTGTTTGCGTTTCTGATTGGCTGCTCTCTTCTTCTGCAGAAGAAGAAGGTGAAGAGGAGGAGGTCAAAGGGCAAGAAGAAAGCTGCTGTCTCAGTGCAGCGCTCCCCCGAAGCCCTGGAGGAGACGTGGCGGGTGGTGTCTGAGGAGATGCGAGCCGCCGGCTTCCAGGTCAGCATCAGGGGGCGGGGGCAGGGGCGGGGGGTGTCCGGTGCGGGCCGTCCATCCTGCCTGCACTGTGACTGACTGCACGCAGTGTGCTCTGCTCCGTTGGTCTTTGGCGACATCGCATACACAGGCCATGCAGGAATGTGCCAGTTACTCGCTCGTCAGGAATACACTGCAGTGACGCACCCTGTCTGACACAGGCTGTTGAGACAATTGTCCAGCCAGACCTTGAGTGGTTCCCCCAGTGTGATTCGCGTTAAAAATTCACTGCATGTTGGCTAAATCCTAACTTATAAAAAAATTGCAGAAAAGCAATGGAATGGAAGCTTGCTAGAATCTAAGTGCAGGATTGACAAAATCTGCTGACTGTTCTGTTCCCTGGGGCTTCAAAGTTCGCTGTGAACCTCTTGCCTAAACTGCAGGTGGAGGCTTTCTGTGAATGTCTGATGGGGGTGTCTGGTAAGGTTTTCTTCCTGCGCCTGTGTTCCTGCAGTTGTCCGAGTCGCTGACGGAGAGAGCCGTGCCATTCGATGTGGCCTCCGAGGTCCCGGTGGAGGAGCAGAGGGCGGACGCCCTGGTCAAGATCCAGGACTCCCTGCTGGCCCGGCAGGGGCCCGAGGCTCTGGCACTGCTCAGGGCCGCCAGGTCAGAGGTCACCGGAGTCGTGTCCGGTCCAGTTGGACTTGTCAGAAGCACAATTTTATTGTGCCAAATGCTGCCTGTCTTTCTCTGTCCCTCAGTCTCTTCCTCTCAGGTCCGGCCTGTCCTGTCCTGTCTGCCACTCTCTCCTCTCTCCCTCCTCTCTGGCCTGTTTTGTCTGCCCCTCTCTCCTCTCTCCTCTCTCCCTCCTCTCTGGCCTGTCCTGTCCTGTCCTGTCCTGTCCTGTCCTGTCCTGTCCTGTCCTGTCCTGTCCTGTCCTGTCCTGTCCTGTCTGCCCCTCTGTCCTCTCTGGCCTGTTCTGTCCTGTCCTGTCTGCCCCTCTGTCCTCTCTCCCTCCTCTCTGGCCTGTCCTGTCTGCCCCTCTGTCCTCTCTCCCTCCTCTCTGGCCTGTCCTGTC